GATAGGAGTGAGCCAGGGTTCAATTTGCAAGGGAACTAGCCAGAGGTGTGCTTACCTTGGGGATCTAAATTTACACCTTCCATTCGTTCAGACAATTGTCCAGACTTCTTTAACCATACTGATTGGATTTGGCCATTGGGCTACAGTTTTTCTTTTTTCTTTTTTTGTGATACTGTGGATGGAACCAAAGGCCTCATATATGCTAGGCAAGCACTCTACTACTGAGCCACATCCCCAGCCCTCTTTAACCATACTGGAGAATAAATGCAATTAACAGTGACTACCACTAATCAGTTTTTGTTATTGTTGTTACTGGGGATTGAACCAGGAATGCTCTGCCATTGATCTAAATCCCCAGTCCTTTTTACTTTATTTTGAATCAAGGTCTCTTTAAGTTTCTCAGGCTGGCCTCAAACTTGTGGCTTTGTAACTAATCCAAGCTGAGACTTTCTCAGGAAAATCCTGTTGTTTTTTTTTTTTTCCAGTGCTGGGGATCAAACCTAGGGCCTCCTCTATACTTGGCAAACACTCTATTATGAGATCAGGTGACTGGAAAGTCAGCCCAGGAAAGTCTCTTGACTCTGGGATACTAATATTTGCCTTACTAAGTTCGCAGTTTTTTTCAACTAGCAAATCAATCAAATGAGAAAAACCTTGCAAAACAAGTTATAATTACAGATCATGGTTGATACTATATAGTATGTGTGACCATGTTCTAATAAACAACAAACTCCAGAGGGCGCTAAATCTCCAGTAATGTGCTCTGAAGGCTTATGTGGTCCCCTGACCAGAAATGAATCACCCTAGAACTGCATCACAAGCACAGGAAAGGTTTATTGAAGGCTAATTTAAAGAATCTCAAGTGGATGAGTTCATGGGTCTGTTCTTTCAAAAAATGATGAAGATTAAAACTCAAACTAAGATTGCTAATGGCAGGATATGGGGGAGAAGTGGCAGGTGCTACATCTGTCTATGAAGGTGGCATGAAGCCTGTCACAGCCCAAGATGCAGACAGAGATGAGAAAAACAAGGCCTTCAAAAAGAAATAAAAAGAGGAGCAGAGGAAACTCAAGCAGCTAAAAGCAGGAGCCTCTGGCCACAGATAGAATGAAGAAATACAGCAAAAGTAAGCTGTTCCTTGGGCCTGAAGTGATGACCCTTGGTTTCTTCCTATTTAAACATCTGGATTCTCTTCCATAACATCTTTTGCCACCTATTACTAGGATGAAGTGTTATCTTAGAGCTTGTTGTAAATTTAAGAATAAACTTGTGTTTAAAAAAAGTCTTGCCGGGTGTGGTGGCAAATCCCTGAAATCCCAGCTACTCAGGAGGCTGAAGCAGAAGGATCACAAGTTCAAAGCCAGCCTCAGCAACTTAGAGAGGTCCTCTCAGTGAGACCCTGTCTCAAAATTTAAAATTTTTTTAAAAGGCTGGGGTGTGTCTCAGTGTTAAGCACCCCTGAGTTCAATCCCTGGTTTTATATATATCTCGAGCATAGTAGTATAAGTCTGTAATCCCAGCCACTTGGGAGGCTGAAGCAGAAGAATCACAAATTCAAGGCAAGCCTCAGCAACTTAGCAAATTCCTGTCTCAAAATAAAAATAAAAAATAGTTAGTGGTGTAGCTCAGTTGTAGAGCACCAGGTTCGATCCCCAAAATCACACATACACACAAATCCAAGGGTTGGGGGAATACCTCAGCAGTAAAGTGCTTGCCTAGTGTGTGTGATGCAAGGTTTTGATTCCTAGCATCAGCACCAAAAAGAAAAGGGGAAAAAAAAATCCAAATGAGAAAGTCCTGAGAAATGCAAGGTACTATTTATAAAGACAAATGAGAAGACTGGGGTGAAACTGCCTTGTGGTCTAGACTGGAATCCTCAGTATCCTCCTTCAAGGGGCCTCAAGGTTCAATGAATTTTCCTCATTAGTTTAATTTCAAGGATTTCTTTCCTAATCAGAAGTGATATAATGAAAGAGTACAGGACCTTAGTAAAGTGTCCCAGAAAATTCTGGGTCTCAGATCCTTTTCTGTAAAATAGGGATGGTAAGAACTCCTCACAGAGGCGTGAGGACTAGATAAGGTGATGTACAGAAAAATGTGGCAGTGACCAAGTGTTGATACTCAAACATCAGCCTCCTAATGCAGCTTCAACTGGCATGCCTGAAGAGGTCCCAAAAGTGGAACACTGGAGTCCAAGACACAGGAAGCAAAGGCACACAAATATTCAACTTTTCAAATTTCTGTTCAAACTTCTGTTTTAAGCTTTTCTTCAAACTGTCAAGGGATCCCTACAATTTTGAAGCCTACCTGAAACGCAAGGTTTGGCAATTTCAAAAAGCACTGTCCCCGTCTCCAAATCTCGAATTTTGAAGCGGGTGAAATCAATACTGTAGATGTTGTCTTCAGGTTTACACAAGTAATCTAAAAAATGAGAAAGAGACCAATGCTATTAAATAATCATCCAAAACTACCACTTATTTCTCAAGTTTTGAAGCAAATCAAGGATTTTTTTTTTTTTTTTGTACCGGGGATTGAACTTAGGGGCACTCAGGGGCACGACCACTGAGCCTATTTTCAGCCCTATATTGTATTTTATTTAGAGACAGGGTCTCATTGAGTTGCTTAGCAACTTGCCTTTGCTAAGGCTGGCTTTGAACTCCAGATCCTCCTGCCTCAGCCTCCCCAGCCACTGGGATTACAGGCGTACACCATTGTGCTTAGCTTAAACTCAGGGATTTTTTCCTATGTAATTTACTTAAAATACTTCCCCAAACATCCTCTTATATTATCATAAGCAAAAGTTGTATGGACAGAATCAGGAGACCCAATAAAAAAAGAGCAGGACTCAGTTTGGATGAAACTTCTAGGAACAGGGATAGAAAGAATGGTTTTCTTTGGAAACACCTATAACTGCCATATTTATCAGCCTGGATACCACAACATTAGAAATATTTTTTTAGAAACCATTTCTAGAAAAAAAATTGAAAATATTTATACTGCTTTAACAGACAATACAATGCATGTTTGTCAACCATGAGTGTGAGAAGGCAGGGATCAGTAAACTTTCCCGTAAAGGGACACATTATAAATAATTTAGGGTTTATATTCACATGGACTCTGCCATAACTACTCAACTCTGTACAAAAACATCCATGGACAATAAGCAAATGAAGGAGTATGCATCTATTAAAACTGTACCTATGGATACTGACAAATTTTCTAGATTTTTAAAATATATTTCAACCACTTTAAAAATGTAAAAATTGTTCTCAATTCTTGGACTACACAACATCACACAGCAGGCTATATACTCTGTTGGCAGAGTAGGATAAATTTGGCAATGACAGCACTAGTCAAAGTGAAGCATAGCCTACAATGACCTGAGGATTTAACCAAGAGTTTTGGTCATAGAAAATTTCATTGATTTGTTTCTACAACTCCTGACAGCATCTTCTCTGCGACTCATTTCAACTCATTACGACTTTATTGTAGATTGCTTGTTATTGTTTCACATTTAATAAGCTGTCTCCAGTAGAATGCAAACTTGAGAGCTACTGATGATTCTCTAACTCCCAAACAGGCTGACATTGGTTCTGTGCTTTTAGGGGGTACTCAATAAATAACTTGCAAGACAGAACAGATGAGACTCTAAGAAGAGGAACAGAATTCAGAGGTCACCAAGCTCTGATCTGTGACTTTCTCCAAAGAGCAGTAGACACAGGTTTTTGGGCAATGACACCAAAATTCCCAAGCCCCCAAATGGGACCTGTGTGCCCAGTGAATACTGCTTAGGGCCAGGCATTAGAATGGCCAAAGTCACCTTTGGTGTCAGGAGCAAATGTGAGGTTAAAGTGATCAGGTGCTGAGCATTTCTGTACTTTTAAAACCTCAAATGAAGACTTAGAACAGAAGCAGCTTTTTCATTGTTTCAATGAAACCAAACAGCCATACTGTAGAGGCATGTAAAGGACAGTTCCAACTCCAACTGTGATAGAAAATGGGGACATCAAAATACCCAAGTTAAAACTATTTAGGGAGTTGAGGATTTCCTTTCATACTGGATCAAGACCACCTTCCCCAAACTCCCATTCCCCAAACACTGGAGCTCCAGTAGCAACCTGAGGTACTCCTGGGCAGCCCTGAGCTGACCACAGCAATCAGTGTCTACCAGGGCATCCTTCCTGGCAGCAAGGTTACAAGTCAGCTTCGGTTGGGGGAGAGGGGGGGATGGCGGTGGGCAGGGCAAATAAGGCCTAACCAGGTGACTGTAAACTCCTGGGGAAAACAACAGCAAGGGAAAAGGTGTCAAGTCATAGCTTGGCTTGACAGAGATGGAGGGAGAGAGGAACAATTCTATTTCTTCCCACTCTTTCTTATATGAATGAAAAAATACCTTATGCAAAAAAAAATTTTTTTTTAAATTCTGAAATCTTTAATATTTATTTTTTAGTTTTCGGCGGACACAACATCTTTGTATGCGGTGCTGAGGGTCGAACCTGGGCCGCACGTAAATTCTGAAATCTTGACAATTCTTAATTCACTGGAAAAAAAAAATCAAGATTAAGATTAACGGGGCTGGAGTTGTGGCTCAGCGACAGAGCGATCTCCTTGCATGTGCGAGGCCCTGGGTTCGAGCCTCAGCACCACATAAAAATAAATAAAGGTATTGTGTCCAACTACAACTAAAAAAAATAATTTTGTTTTTTAAAAAGAGTAAGATTCACATATAGGAGTCTGCACATATACTGAAACTTTATTTTTCTGTGGCAGTTTTTAAATTTATATGAAATACCAAGGAAAAGCGCACCTGCACACAAAGGGGAACGCTTGGGACCTAGAGGAGAAGGGGGCCAAGACAGGCTGGAATGGGGGAAGGGCTGTCAGGGGGCCGGAGAGGAGGGACAGGCGGAGAAAGCAGGTAGGGGCTCTGGCCTGGCAGAGGACTGCGGAAGCTCGGGGGTAGACTCGTCGCGGGGGAGGGGGGGCGGGCTAGGCGGGAATTTCGCTGATGCGGCGAGGTTCCAGCAAAGGGGACCTCCGCACCTCCGCCCGGGTCCGATAAGAAGGAGCAGCTGAGAAGGAGCGGAGAGCTGAACGAAGACCCTTCCTCAACCAGGACAACCCAGGGGCAGCCTGGCGGCGCTGGACTCGGCCAGACGCGGTGAAGCTCAAGGAGAGCCCTTCTCCACCAGGTCTAGGTGAGCGCGGCCAGGGCAGAGGGCAGCGCGGCCTGCATGACTGTCCGGGCCTGGGCGGACCCCGCGCGGGCCAAGCGGACCGACCCGCCGGGGGCCCGTCGCGCGGGGAGGGCGCGGCCCTCGCGACACTCACTTTCAGTGACCCGGCTGAGGCGCAAGACGTGCTCAGGGCGGATGGTGTCCAGGGCCAGCAGCTCCTGCTCCGTGACCGCTGCCCCGATGCCGTCGTCGGCCGCGTGGGGGGGCGCCTGCCGCCGCACTTTGAGCCGGTTCAGGACGCCACCGCCCGCTTTCTTCTTCTCCTCCTTGCCAGCCACCAGCCCCCCGGGCCCCGCAGCCGACCCCGCGGCCATAGCCTTGGGGTTCGACCCGTTCATAGCTCCACAGCCAAGATGGCCGCCGCCTCCACAGCGCCGTAACTATGGAGAGCGGGGGCGGGGCCAGGCGGCACCTGGGGGCGGGGCCCTGGAGGCGGGGTCTGCGGGGAGCAGTGAAGACTCTCCAACTTTGGTCCTGTCCGGCGGTGGGTGGGGCCTTAGAACTCCCACACACTCTTTCAGGTCCCCAAAGTCATCCCAGATGTTATATATATGTGTGTGTATATATGTATACACATATATATATATATGTTACAAGTGAATTTCTGTCTTAGAAACTGTAGATAAAGCATCTTGAGAAAATGTTAATGTTTTTATTATTGAGTGTAAGTTAAAATGGTGTTTGCTGTGCAAAGAGGCAGCTTCAAGACAAGCTTTCTAACTAGATTGCCATGCCAACCCCTGCTGTGCCTGATCTTGAGCGAGACTGCAGGAACTATAAAGATGAGGGAGTGGATATGCCTTATCATTGTATTTTGGCAATTAAGCAAATGCCTGACACATGGTAGGTGCACAACGATTGAATAAATGAGTGAAAGCCTGAAGAGTGCCTCACAACACTCTCCATGAAGGAGTCCCCACTTTGTCAAGAAAGACTGTGGCATACTTCCTCTGACAGGCCGGGAAACTCGGAACTAGAAGATAACTGCCTGGCACCGGCTGTAACAGGTGCAACAAAAGTGATACCAGAGCACCCAGAAGTGGTTTATTCTGTCGGGTTAGGAGGGCGGGGGTGGAAGTGGGTGTCAGGGAAAGGCCTCACAGAGGTGACATTTCTGAGCCTAGGCAGTTAACCACTATTTCATTAGTGAAGGAAGTGGGTAGGAGAGAGGCTGCCTTCTTATACCCCACGTGGTTCCTTCTCTCAAAACTCTGGATGTACAGGAGGCCTGGACTTGACTCATGTGAAGTGTCTACTAGCCAAACTTGGGCCAGAGTGAAATCCCAATCCTCTGTCAATGACTGGCTTCTAGACCTGACTTACACCGGGATTTGCTGGGTCCCTCTCACTTGATGTAAGGGGTTTGGGAGGGGCTGCCAGGAATCACCTAGTTCCTGGACAAAGTCCAAACCTGACCCGCCTCCCCAGCTGCCCAATTGAGTGAGATAGTATGTGGCCAACTTCCTAACTTTTGAGAAATTAGCATCAGGTGACACTTACAAACCCTTCTAGATTTTAATAAATATAAGAGAAATTAAAACCTTTCCTTTTGTAAATAATCTTTTTAAACCACTCAACAGTGAGTGGCTACTGAAGAGTTTCCAGAACTTTTAATATGCTATTTGATTGTGAATTGCCAAGAGGGTGGTTTAGCATGTGGTCATTCCCCACAAGCTCACATTTATTTCAGAGCACCAGAACGACAATTACCTGGATTCTAGTTTTTTTCTTTCTAGGGATCATGACAAAAGTACTAAATCCAGGAATTTTGCCTAAGTGTATACAAAAGATGTTTACTGCAGGATTATTTGTTACATTGACAAATTACAGTGGAGTCTATGTTATACAGCTGTTAAAAAGAATGAGACTGATGGGAAGATCTCAGAGATACTGAGAAAAAAGCAAGGCACAGAATCTATTCAATTAAAATAAAAAGCATGAGAATATGTAGATGTATTTGTAATTGTAAAGGAAGAGGTCTGGATATACATTAAAATGTCAACTTTGATTACCTTTAGGGAGGAGAGTACTGGAAGGAACTAAAGAGAATATATTTCCTTTTTACACTATTTAGAGCTACTTCTGTACTTTTTTTATCACAAGCATATGCTCATGGGCTGCTTGTGTAGTTCTTAAAAATAAGAAAGTATCTTAGGTTCTGTATCTAGAAGGCAGACTTTACGTCAAAGTAGATTTATTTTCTCTTAAAATTTAAAGGCAACCTCAAGGCTCGGGGTGTAGCTCAGTGATAGAGTGCTTGCACAGCATATACAAGGCGGCCCTGGGTTTGATCATCAGCACTGCAGGAAGGGAAGGGGGCGGGGGAACTTCAACTGAAAAAAAAACCCAAAAAACGAAATACTGTCATATGAGGGAGTGGGGCCTATACTCTCTCTGGTGACTATGAAGTATGATTAGAAGGATTAGAGTATGTATTTAGAATAGAAAGCATACCAAAAAAAAAAAAAAAAAAAGGTAAAATTGGCTGCCATCCAAGGAGTTGAATGCAGGAAGCTCTCAGGAATGCAAGATCATTCAGAGATGGTCTAGTAATTGACAGACAATATAATCTCTAACAAAATAGTCTGTCCTGAGTCCCTGGTAATTGTTAACCTTCATACCAAGAAGGTTGGGAAAGCATTAAAATCTGCATATGATGTGTATCCAGGCAGACTTCAAGGGGTTTGTGCTTTGAGACCTAAAGTTCTGATAAAATTTTCTAAAACAAAACTATATCAGCAGGGCCTATGGTGGTTCCATGTGTGCTACATGTGTTGGTGACAAGTGTGTCTTCATTATTGAGGAGCAGAAAATTATTGTGAAGTGTTGAAGGCACAGCAAAGTCATAAAGTGAAATTTTAAAAATGAAGCTTCTTTGAGTAATAAAAGATCAAAAGGCTAAAAAACACACACAGAAGAAAAAACAATTTCACTTTTTAAAGGGGTAGGAAGAATTAGAGCTGTTAATGCTCAATTTACCTTTCTTCACCAAATTTTCCTAAGGTACGTAAAAAGGCTCTATTTAGCCATGTGTGGTAGTGCACACCCATAATTCTAGCTGACAGGGAGGCTGAAGCAGGAGGATGGCAAGTTGGAGGCCAGCCTGGGCAACTTAGCAAGACTGTCTGAAATAAAAAAGGATAGGGATGTAGTTCAGTGGTATAGTACCCCTGGTTAAAATTTTTTTTTTTAATTACATATACTAACAGTCTGGGGAAAAAAGGAAAATAGAACATTATTGCATTAAATATTAACACCAAGGTTTTCCAGGGCTGGACACAGGAAACCTGAAGCAGTAGGCTGGCCTCCCTTTCACCCCAGACTGGCCCTCTGTCTGAGTCCCTCCAGCCACCGTAAAAGGTGTGACAGTGGCTGTTTTCCAGGACAGTCCCAAGGTAGCCAGGCAGTCTGCCTCGAATCAGGCCATGCAGGTGGTGCCAGAGATGGTGCAGCCAAGGTAAGCAAGACATCAGAGGGCTTTTCTCTTTGGAGACTGAGAAGTGAAGTCCTTTCTGCTGCCTCCCTAAAGGTGGCATGTATCAAATCAGCAAGTCATGGCTGGGATAGCAGGCACGCCTTCTGGTCTGGGACTGAAAGCTAGTAATTTCCCCAATACCCAAGTCACTTCACTCCCTGGATAAGGACTGTTTTTTAAAAAGCACTAATTTGGCAACATATACCTATGGTTCCAGCTACTCAGAGGGCTGAGACAGGAATTCGAAAGTTTGAGGCCAGCCTGGGCACCTTAGCAAGAGCCTATCTCAAAATACAATTTAAAAGCTGGGTACGGTGGTACATGCCTATAATCCCAGTGGCTTGGGAGGCTGAGAGAGGAGGACTGGGAGTTCAAAGCCAGCCCCAGCAATTTAGTGAGTTGCTAAGCAATCAGTGAGACCCTGTCTCTAAATAAAATACCAAAAAAGGGAGCTAGAGATGTGGTTCAGTGGTTAAGTGCACCTGAGTTCAATCCCTGGTTCCAAAAAAAAAAAAAAAAAAAAAGGCTGGAGATATACTAGAGCACTTGCCTAGCATGTGCAAGGCCAGTATCTCACACACACACACACACACACACACACAAAAAAAAAAAAACTTTAAAAAGGACACTAATTTATTATTTATATCCCACCTGTTCCGAGAAAAGATTTCTAGCATATTCCAAAGTCGTATAGTAAAATATTGGGGAATAAAAATTCATATAGCCTTGTGAAGTGGAATACTTTCAAATTTTTAAATGCATGTATTATTTGACCTAGTAATTCCTTTAAGGAATTCTAAAGAAACACTTATACATGTGCACAAAGATGCAAGTATGAGATGTTCACCACAGCAATTTGTACTAACAAAAAAATGAGCACTCTTTTAATGTTCAACAATAGGGAAATGGTAACGTAAATTACAATCTAACCATAAAATACTATGCAGTCCTTTAAAGATAATCTCTATGTACCAACCTATCTATATGTATAAATTCTCTAAGACATATTAAGTCTTATGGTTATGTATAGCATAATCCCGTTTGTTTAAAAACACTATATGTACATGTATATGTAAATACGTAGAAAATGAGATACGTATCACCTGCATTATCTTCGTAAGGACTAGAGGGGTAAAGATAAAAAGGATTTTTACAATTTATACCCCATATAATTTTTAAAAAATATTTATGTACATATTACAAATATATTATTATTATATATAGTTTTGTATCACTAAATCTTAAAAGGTTACTTTCTTTTTGTGAAGACAAATATAATAAACCCCCATGTAACCACCGCTTCATCGCTTCATCGGTTATCAACATTCTACACTGAGCCTTGGAAAGTTCCTTTTAAAGAGTATATCATGCTGGGCATGGTGGTGTATACCTCTCATCTAGCAACTGGGGAGGCCGAGGCAAGAAGATCTCAAGTTGGAAGTCAGTCTCAGCAACTGAGGTCCTAAGCAACTTAGCAAGACCTTGTCTCAAAATAAAAAAGGGCTGGGCATGTAGCCCAGAGGTAAAGCACCTCTGGGTTCAAACCCCAGTATCAAAAAACAAAAAATTTTAAAAATCATGGCATAGGAATACAGGTTTGGGGGTCAGACAGGGTCAGATTCTGGTCATTGCTTTGGCCACTTACCAGCTATGTGACTTTGGGCAGGTGATCTCTGAGCCAGTTTTCTCATTTTAAGTCAGGCTAGTCATCACCTTTCCTAGGGTTGTTGTGTACTATGCTAAGGCCAGTGTACCTAGTGAACAGTCACTATGGCAATATCTGTAAGTGACCTCTTTTTCCAGGACCCTTCTGCAGGCACCCTGGGCAGGAAGAAACCACAGAGCTAGATGGGAGAGTACTATCAAGTCAGGGCTGAGAGGCGGCAAGCTGGGGACCGACTTGAAGAAGCAACAGAGATTCAAGTGGAAGCAGTGAGGAAGCCCAGAACATCAACTCTTTAATATCAGGCCTGAGCCAAAAAGCAAGTGGGGTTACTTTTTACTAACATTAAGTAGTTAGGAACAAACAAAACGAAGACTCTTGAACTTACTAGTTCTAGGTCCTCCGTGCTCCACCCTCTTTTCCGACCCCTCACTGCTACAGCAAGCTTTCCAGTAAATGTTGGAAAATCCCAACTCTCTTCCTCCATGGGGGATGTGGGGGTATTAAATCTGGAGAAAGGTCTGACACACCGGCTCCAGCCAACCGGGAGCCTGATTTCCTTAGTAAGATTAAGATCTGGACCCATGGAGTGGTCCAACCCAACCCCCAGCACTTGGCCCAGGGATTTTCTGTCAAGACAATTTCCCTCCCTGCAACTCCCTAGAGCAGGGCTTCTTCAAGTCTCTTCCCCATTTGGCAACTTGTGCAAAGCTACCTGAAATAGCAACAGTTTAAGTCTTAATTAGTAAAGAACTCCAGCTACATAGGTGGACTCAACCTAAGAAAGACACTCTGTGGGCCTTGTGGCTTATTCAGGCCCTGGAAACACTCCATCATTCTTGGATCGAGCAATGAATTCTGTCCTTCAAGGGATAACTGAGGGAGGTAGACCAGCATTCCCACCCCACCCCCAATCCTAAATAAGCAGCCTTCATTCCAGCTTGAAATATAGCCAGCCAGTAGGGTCTAGAGCCATGTCACATAGCATCCTGAGGAAGTGGGAAGCAGTGCAGAGTAATTATTAAGAGCAAGAGACTTGACTTAAAATTCCAGCTCTGCCTTTGCTGGCTGTGTAGCCCTGGGCATGTCACTCACCTCTTAAAAAGAGTAATATCAACTGGTTTGCAGAAGAGTCCACAGATACGAAGAGTAAATAGGTAATGTCTGTAAAGTGTTCGGCACTGTGCCTGGCCCATTTCAAGGGTTCACTACAGGAGAGTTATAATTATTTTTACAACCTAGAATGAGCATGGGCTTTCATAGCAAATAGACTAGTTTTGAACCCTGGCTTGATTGTTTACTGACCAGCCTGGGGCAAATTACTAAACTTTTTTGAGCTTCATATTCTGTAGATATAAAACGTGGCTTATAAATTACAGGGAAAAAAATTCTTCCTGCATTCTGCATTCCAGATGTATACTAAAACACTGCCAACACACCAGAAAAGGGGATGAAGAGAAAAGTATCCCATGGCTTAGCTCATCCAGAGGCTAAGGGAACAATAAAGGAGGCAGCTATGGGCCTGGTATGCCTTGGGATTGGGATGGTAAGGGGCTGGCTGGTGTTTCAGTGGAAGTAGGAACAAAATAATTTTTATTTTTCCTGGTTGAAATGGCCAAGCAAGGTTTTACATATCTTTCCCTTTAACCAAACATCCCAGAAAGAAGAAAAGCAAGAGATACCTGATTACATGGACAACAGCTCCCAGCCTCACCACAGACGTCTTCATAGCCAGTGAAGCCCCCAGGCCTCCTTTTTCCCATCATATCGCTTCTTTGCAATAAAGCTCAAATTCAACCCCGAGTGTCACTGCAAATTGTTTATTAAAACACAAAGCAATGGACAGTGAAAAAACATCCTGATTTTTTACTTTTTGGTGGGAGTGGGGTGGGGCACGGAAGGGGCAGGGACAGATGGAGACAGCCCAGAAGGAAAGACAGCTCTATCTACCCCTACTGCTTCCCTGGCCAGCCAGGTTCAAAGCCCCTCAAGTACATCTCACTGTGCTGCTGCTGTTAAGTACATACTGTGGCTACAGGCAAAGAGTTGGTTTGGCATCTGCAGGGAGAGGATGGAAAATCAGAGTAGAAGCTACAAGGCTACTAAAAACTGACACATTTTCTCCGATACTTGGTACCAAAGAGAGCAGCCAGGCCTAATTTGGAGGGTCAGGCAAGACAGCTTAGGCCAATAATGGTTGAAGAGGCTGTCATGAGCTCAGAATGGGTACCTGATGGTAGCCTGGGAGAAACTGATGGAAGGGAAAGGTAATGTTCTTTAAATCCAAGGAGGGAGCTAACCCAGGGTCAAATTTCTTTTCATTCCCTGGATCATGACACACCAAACAGAGTTGTCAAGAAAGTCTCTTTACTGGTTTTGCCATATTGTCTCTCCCTGCCAATTCTCCCCTCCCACCTGGCAACTCGGCTCTCCTTTCCCGACAGTTGTCCTTTGAAAGGACGGAAAGCGCACTTCAGTTTGTTGTTGTTTTTCCTCATACTGAAATAAAGCACTGAAGCTCAAAATAGAGGTGAGAATGGAGTTCTTCTTTTCCCAGTGCTATGTGCTCCCATCTCACAAGACTGCCTGGATATGAGTGGTGCCAAGGCCCTCTCTGCCAACTCGAACAGGCACTACTGTTTCCCTGGCTGCCAGCACAATCCTGGCTCCTTGTTTTTATACTCCTGGGAGGAACTCGTCCCAAGAGATCCATCCTGCTCTTTTCCTGCCAACCCAGCCAGTCCCCAACTCATCTGCTCTTATCAAGATGATTTGGCCACCCAAAGCAAGTGAGACAAAGGCAGCTTGAGGACGACAAACCAGATCAACAGCAAACCACACATGTGCAAAAGAAACCCACCCTCACTAGGCAGCTGACCCACTGATGCCAAGCTTACAACGTGGGGAAATCTAACCCTCTTGCTTCAGAAGAGGTCCAAATACAGAAAGAGCCTAGCTCAGACTGAAAAAGAAAATTGCCCTGATCTCTCTGAAGCATGAACATTAAGGCTTCTTTGCAATTTTCTTAGAGCTCTTTGATCCCTAATTATATCTTTCCCTACAAGAGAGGAAGATTTCTTCTGAGATTCTGAACAGATGCTGAGTGTTTCTGGTTCTGCTTCAGTACACTCTCACTTAGCCTTACCCCAGTCTCCTTCCTCAGAGGCCACAGCAGAAGGCGGCCCAAAGCATACTTCCCCTGGCCCAGTCTTTTTTTAAAAAAAACAGGACCATTTATAAGTTTCTCACTTGGGAAAGCTCACCTACTCTCCTATATCCTTTTGGAGAGGCAGGAAGGACAATGTTACATGTTGTCGCTTGATGCCATTAAGGCTCCTCAAGGCAAGAAGACACTTGAAAAGTAGGCCAGCAAAGGGGAGGGGAGGGATGGGGAAGCAGCCCCATGGCAGGGACTGTAAGACCCCTGCCCTGACCTGAATCTAGAGGGAATGCCCACCCTGGCTCAGAGCAGGAGAGGAAAAGGCACTGTGCTGACCGGGGTAGGTTCATCCTCAATCCCCAGGGAGGGTAGAGAACCTGCTGATTCTTTCCTTGGGCTTCCCGAGGTGAACCAATTTCTAGGGAAAGGGATCTAAGTGCTAGGACAAGGAAAATACTGCTGCTGTTTTCTGAAATTCTCAGCTGAGATTCTAGAAGTCAGGGCCAGGTCTCCCTAGGAGAGGCTAGGGGCAAAACAAAAAGGAAGAGAAATTCCTTAAAACAGAAGCTTCTCCAAAAAAGACAAAAGTCAAACCACACTTCTAAAACTGGATCCAACAGTTCCCAGGCACAGAAAGGGGGAGGTAAGCCTAATGCAAGTTTTATCCCACCTCATCAAAGCCCACATGACCTCTAGCGTGACTGTATCCCCTCAGAGAGAGCAAGAGAACTCGATCACACCTTTCAACAACAAGGTGGCCCTGCAGGTCACAGCTGGTCCTCCTGGGAGTCTGATACCACGGAAGCTTAAAAGTTATCTTTTAAATCATCAGAACTCAGGGTATCCACTGAGCAGCTTCTCCTTAGGAAGGAAGATTTTTCAGAAAAAACAATGGATTTGATTTACAGGATATGGACCCCACAGTTTCTTAATTTTTCACTCAGCATGAGTAAGATCCAAAATAGTCCAATTAGAGACTGTGGATCACTGACCCAAATCAGACCAGACTACAGATTCAGCCTGTTTCCAGCATTCATCTTTGCATGGTTTTCTACAAACTGCACTAGAGCCATGCTTCTGGCAAAAGGAGTTTCACCCTGGCTATCTGCTCTTTAGCCAGTAGGGCTCTATGGACCCTAAAACCCTGGGACGGCATGTGATGGAATAGAAGAGCCTGGCCTCTCCTCCCCAATCAGCCCCAGGCAGACTCCCTACAGTACAGCCCAGCCTCAGTCCTACACTAGTTCAAAATACAGATGGAGAACAAACAGTGCAAAAAGCAAAAGATGAACAGAGTAATTCTTGACATGTACAATATAAAAATAAAGCATGCCCCATTCCATCCCTTTAACCTAAACTTCATGTACCTTTATCCCTTGGAGGAGCCAAAAAAAAAAAAAAAAAAGCTTTCAAGTTCAGCAACATGAGCCAGCTGTTGCTAGCACTAGGCAGCTATCTTTTAGCTGGGTGGGCTTGGTTTCAGGGGAGTCTATCCCAGCCCCTGCCATAATTCTCCCCGTTTCCTCACTTCCCCTTTAATTTTGTCAGCCATAGAAAGATGTTCCTTCCTTTTGGATACAACCAGAGAGGAAAGCACCCATTCTGTCCCTGGGGGAAGGAGTAGGCTTCTGGAAACAGGCAGAGCAAAGCTGCTTGGCTTACAGTACCATTAGGAAATGGCCCCAGGAGTCAGGGTTTCCTTCTGAGACAATGAGTCACTAAAGAGATGGGCTGAGGTGAGGAGGCAGGACCCCTCCTTCCTCGGAGACCCAAGCAAACTAACAAACAAGGCAAAATAGAGGCAACAAGTCCTCCTTCATCTTGTCTAATCAATTGGCAGTGGCTCACACCTTTGGGAATTGTGAAAGAACAGAAACCAACACCACTGTCAGAAGCCCAATTAGTAAGGACATCCACTGTCCAGGAAGTTGGTCCCCAAGACCAAGGCTACAGTACCTCAACCTTTAGAAGGGGGCTTCAGGTGCACTCCAGGACCTCCTTGCTCCTCTGATTGCAACCTCAGGCCCCAGCCATCCAGCTGCCTGGCTCAGTACCCTAAGACTGAGGCCCAAGTCACAATGAAAATAAAGGGCTATAATTCTCAAATGACTAAACGCTGGCCTGGAGTAATCATTAAGAGCCAAAGTCAGGACATGAACCCAAGAACCACTTACTTTTGTCACATAAGGAACAGTTCAAATATACGAAACTCTTAAAAAACATCTAGTAAGGCAAACTGAAAATCAAACATATTCTAAAAAGATGGGCCTGGCCTGAGATTCTGTACTGCTCCAGCTCAAGCTGAAGCTAATCCTGCTGCCTCCCACCCACAAAATTTCTTTTAGCTTAGCTGGGTCCTCCCTCATTGTTGCCCTAACAGAGAAATGAATGACAGTGATCAGAAAGGAGGAGAAAAGGGAAATTTCATTTTCTGCAGACATTTTTCTAGGGAATTCCAGACAGACACTTAGATGTTAAGGTTAACCTCAGAGCTGCCAGGACTAAGCTGACTGAGACTCTTTTAGCCCCATCACACCAAGAACCTGACTACAACTTGGATAGGGAAATGAAAAGATGGAGGCGCATAATATTAAGATTCATGAGAAAAATCACTGGGCCAATATGGTGAATCCATTTAGTTCCTTGAGGCAGCTCTGGGCAGAGGACATGGGGATAAATGAACACAAAATACTAAACACTCTAAACAGTGGTCAATCACTTAGTAGGGCTCAAGTCTCTGAGGTTGCTCTTAAGTTATGCTAACATAAGCCTTTTCTAATCCAAAGACCAGAAGAGACTTTTAAGGTCAAGTGTTCAGTTGCTGTAGGCTGGAAAGCATCCCTGTCCCCTGGCAGCAAGACCCTACAAAGGGGCCAGTAAAGAACTGCTGGGTCAGGTCCTCCTGGCTGCTGGCTCAGAGATCCAGGGAGGGAGGTACCAACAAGGTGAGGTGGTAGAAGATAAGATATTCAAGCACAGAGAATCCAAATCCCCATGTCTCCTTCCCTTCTTGGCAATAATTTAGTGAGGATGGTTGAAAGGGAGAAGAGATTCCAAATGAGCCAGATTAAGAAAAAAAAAAAAATTGAAAGATCAAGTCCCCAACAGGCACTGAAATCAAAATGATTTGCTGTGGTGACAAGTCAGAGGCAATTTGAGGACCTGATATGAACTAATTGTCTTGGATACCAGACAGTCCTCTAACTGGCACATGTCAGGGAGATAAGCAATGACAAACTCAAATATTTGAGAAGGAACCATCATTGGATTAATCCAGAAAGGCTTCCAAGTAAGGAAGCGTTTACTTTTCTTTCTTTTTCAATTCCCCCATTTTTTGCCTTTACCATCTGATTTATACACCTTCACACACACATTCTTTCAATCCCAGGACATATGAAAACTTATCTGGACATGACTTCAGAACATACCCAACTCCCAGTGCTGGTCTTCTCAGGTAATTAGATGACATTTCCCTATTTGTTAATTTCTAACCTAAAAAACTACTCTGAGTTCAGAGTCCTTTTCACTCGTTATACAAATAAGGATCCTGGACAGGAAGGACCCGTTTGCCCCAAGTACCCCAGAGAGAAAAGTGACAGCTGGGGCCAGCCACAAAGAGAGGACTAGGACTGAAGCA